GGGACAGATTGGTTATTGGTCCAAGTGAATCTATTACCCTGAATTGGGGCGTCCATTAATTCCATACTGTTTATGAAGTCAGCAAACATGTTCATTGAACCAGTTCTTCTACCCCCTGTATTCTTCTCATCCACCGAAATAGTTGCATTAAAATCACCCCCAATTACCCAAGGACAGTTTHGAGGGTCTCTCAAATCTGATAATTCCGCCCAAAAAGCCACCCGAAAATTAGAATCAACAGGACCATAAACGTTTGTGACTTGAATAAGTTTTCCATCTTGTAGTTTCAGTCTCAGAGTGATTGAGAAATTACCAATTCTGCAAGAAACCAAAGAACAAAAAGTRGGGTCCCAAAGGCTCACAATTCCACCAGCACTCCCCAAGGCAGCCAAGGCCTTCCATCTGACCTGACCCTCCCCCCAAACACTTCGAATTGTAGCAGCATCAACCCACTCCAGCTTAGTTTCTTGGAGCAAGACAATCTTTGACTTCGATTGCTTCAAAGAATCACATACCATCATCCTCCTCCTTCCCGACCCCAGCCCTCTAACATTCCAGGAAAGAATTTTCACTTCCTTCAGAAAAAAAAAAAAACAACTAAAGAAAAGGACCCACCTCTTCTTAGACCCCCTTGCAGTCCCTTCACTGCTCCCCACCTTATCATTCAGACCCCAAGTTAATCTCATCATTTCTCTACTTCTCTTTATTTTTAATCCCCTTTCTTTTGCCGCCAATTTTCCCCTCTCCATAAGCACTCTTTGTTGTCATTGTCATTGTTATTATTGTTTTACTTTTATCTAGGATTAGCAGTGAATATTTAGAGAAATTTTAGGAACTGGGGTCAATAGTTGAGTATCTACATGGTTTATATACGACTTTATTTCAATAATTGTGCAATTAGGAATTATTTTAGTAAGTTTTTAAGTTGAATGTGAAGTCCTGCAAAGCATTGCCCAATCCCATACATTAAATTTATAGAATCAATGTAAATGGAATTAACAGGAATTGATTTGATCAACAAAGTACAGTTTAGTGATTGTGGTTGTGTGGAACTCGCTCCAAGTATGGATTCTTCCACCTTCTTGTACTATATCTGCTTTTCTATTTTTTTCTGTCTTTTAATTTGTTATTGTTCTCTAGAACAACAACTATTCTTCCTCTTCCCTTATCTTTGGTCTTATTCTAATTTGTTACTTCCAAAATCTGTCTCTGTTCACCATCACTATCATATGGTCTAGACAATTGTTTTTCATCTTCCATTCGTAATTTTCCATCTCAAACTTCTTTCTATTCAACTTGTGTTCTTATATTTCATTGTGTATAAATTGGTGCACTAACAATAAAGTTGGATTTTATTGGCTGAGAGCTTTCTTAAACTGCTAAACAGGTTCTAGATAATTTGAAGGATTCATTTCTTGTAAACCTGTCCTTAGCACATTAGGTTGGGAATATGCATGATAAGATTGCTACAATTTCAAGGAGATAGAGGTATAGAGTTGGGACTTTGAAATATACTTGAACAACATTGCCAATCACATAGGTTATTACTAGTACTATGAATGTTTCAGAGAACAACACTGTACGGAGTAGTTCCCATGAGGTCATTTCTTCTGAAAGAAGGTGCTTCTAGATCTGATGGGCACTAGGTATGCTATGCCCTACATTCTGTTTTCTTCGATGATAACTAGCAATTAAAGGAACAGACATTTAAGGTCTTCAAGGACTCGGGTATTAGTATTACTAGTTCCATGATCTTTTTTTCTTGATAAGTACATGAAATTTATATTGAATATCAACACAAGATTTACATAATTTACATGTGCCCTTAGAAGGGTATATGTAATTTATTCATGCACTGACAAGATGAAGAATACCAGAAAACTTGCTTAGCTTGGTGATTGTATGATAGGTTAGGAATATATTATAGTGTTGAATATTTTGCAAAGATTTCAAGGAGAACAAGATAAGGATTTTTGTGATCTTCACCAAAAGGATGCATGCAAAAATGAGAAAACCTAGAAGATTCCAAAGTAAGATCACAATGCTTGCATCAAGACTTGATTCACTTGCTTATTGATCAAAAACTAAGTTCAATAAGGACTTAACTATTCTACTTGTTGGGAAAAAGTCAATTTTGAAAGCTTAAATTCCACTGGAGATAACGTGCTTTTCCTTGAAGAATCTTTGAAATACTACATCATCCATTGTCTTCTACATGCAATAAATGCCACCACTTCCTAAATATCTAAATAGAAAATCAGTTCCACCAGCAAGCTAGGCTTTTAAAGGGTTATTTTTGTTATCTGATCAATAGTAGGCCTTTAAAGGGTTGGTTTACTAAATACCATTTTTTTATCAGCGGTTTACTAAATACCCATTAGTTGGTATTATGCACAGAACTTGCATAATTTCATCTTCTTGATCTTATGGGAATAAATAAATCTTTTTTTTTGACAAAAAATATCATGATTGGCCTCAAGATCTCGAAGAAATTAGATGCAAAATTATCAATTCGTCCTCCAATTTCTTGTTGAGATAGCCCGAGAAAGAAATGATTTATAACATGTAACATCAAGTCTGAGAATTGCGTGGCACTTTCCTAGTACAAAGAGGTATCAGGATTTTTATTTTTTTTGTGATCAGTAGGGAGATACCAAGAATCATTGGGAACAAGAAGGAAATGTGCAAGTACCCAAAGAGTAATCTGTCCAGCTGTGTAGAAGGAACCAAACGAGGAAGAATACAAGTCAGCCTTCTCATAGACAGTATCACTCCCTTCTCTTAAATTCCAGGACCTACGTTTCTATCTGTATAATGATAAAAAAAAAGGTTTCCCATCTGTATTTAATCTTCTTTTTCTGTGTAAGAAAAAATCATTTTCACAGATTACATCAGAAAAGAAGTCGAGCGACAGAGAGGTTGAAAGGTATCCCGGTCGAACAGATCTGAGCTACTTGTCGATACTTAACAAGTTCCACGTTCAAACTCCAATCAAACTCATATTCAAGAAATATATCAATAATTTACAATTCCAAATACCATCTCATAATCCACAGATAATCAATTTGAACTGTATTAAGCATTTCTAATCATTCAAAACACACTTCGCACCCTAAAAACTTAAAAAGCAATTCCCGAATAGGAAAAGAACAAATATTGAAATCATCGAAGAGATGACGTTCAGTGGAGATCGACGTCGCCTAAAGAGATAAAACTCACCGACATCGCGATCACTATCCTGGAACGGCAAAGCTCGATGGGATAAGATTAGCGGAGGATAATCAATCGCCGGAAACGGGAAACAGTTGGAAGTTACACCCGAAAGCTTAGACCAGCAACGAGGAACTATAAGGGCCTTCTTTCCTTTTTCCCCTTGCTTTCGCGTTGAGTGATAGAGGGCGAAGAGTTCGGGCGACTCTCAGGCGTGAAGAACTTGTACGTTGATTCAGAGATATCGATCGGAAATTCGTTACGGTGACGGCAAAATAATGATGAACATCTGATGCCGACGAGATCGTTCTTCTGACGGCAGCGACGTGCTATTTTTGTCAGACTCGATCACGTGGTTCTCTAAGAGAGCTTCTCATTGTCTACAGAACCTAGTCATTTCTGCCACGTGGAGAGACCCTATGCCTGATCTAGAGAGTAGAGTGTAGAGATGATCGTGGTCGGGCCGGGCCGAGCCTATCCGGGTTTTCGTTGGATTGTGGCCAAGCTAGACCGGGCTTAATGTGGGTTCTTCTAACTTTTAAGTAGGCGGGATGGGCATCTGAGTTTGCCCACATAAATCGATAAAATTAGAAAAAAACAATAGCATATGAATTTTTTTATCAAAATCCAAATTGAATGCAAATTTACTTCTTTTTTATTAATTTATTTTTACATCTTATTATCAATGTAAATATGCATTGAAAAATATATTTTTTTGTCATTTGTTAATACATAAATGTAATATTATCAAACATAGAAAAAAGTGAAATAAAATGCAAATTTACTCTATACTGAAATTTACACTCTATTTGCATCATTTCCAAACGCAGCCTAAACAAACTAACCAAGTACATGAGATGAGAGTTCAGCCACAATAGGGAGTTTTTCATCAGCAAGGGTGATCATCAAAGCAGTTGGCTTTTTTGTGATAAAAGTATAATAGTGGAGGGGCCCTACATTGCAGGGGGCAAACACATGATGGTAAGTGATTTGTCAAAGGTAAAATATTATATAAGAAAAAAAATTATAAAAGATAAATTTATTGAAAAAGAAATCTATTTAAAATAAATAAATAATAACAGCCATCGGGTAATAGAGTGAGAGAGGGAGAGATGACTTCTCTTTTCCATGCATTGATGATGTTCTTTCATCTGCAACTACTTATGTGATAGCTTTCTATTTCTTTGGGTAATTTCATGGGAATTCAAAATTCTGATTCTTGTTCCTTCTCAATGCTGTGCTTTATTTCCTTATTTCTAACATGTAATGAAAATTAACAGCCCTCTTGTTACTTGTAACACAGTTTTGTTTTTACAAGTTTCTATTTAAAATCAACTTCCTTACATTCTCTTCCTATTGGGATGAGTTAAATTCGAATTGTATAGTCTACGTGGCAAGAAAGTTCATGAAGAGTTGTTGAACAAGTGCTTCTCTATTTTAAAACTGGAGTTCCCGTGGGTTGGTGGAGCGGTTCCTAGATCCTCGCTGTGATGGGATCCGCTTGCGTGTTAGGTGGGTAAAATGCCACCAATCGGTAAGGTTGCCCGCTCCCGTCTGAACTGGGGAGTGGGTGAGCTAATATAGCCGTTACAAGGTACGATCCCGTAAGATGCAGAACACGATGGTGAGATCCTCGGGGTTGCCATGCAGTGGTCGGTCTGAATGGGAGGCGAGCTGCCTGTAAGGTACTGGGCTGCTTGGTGGCGAGCTGACTGATGGCAAGCTGCCTGAGCTCGTGCTCTTCAAATTTGCCCAGATATGAATGCCGAAGTGCCTTTGGACCGAGGTGATCCTGGTGTGACCTTGCGCCCAGGTATATTTGTCCCGAGGTAGTCTTGACCGAGGTGGTTGTTCTGTCCGGGTTCGATCTGTAGCGGACTTGATATCGTTATCCTAGTCACGATTTGATACCGGGGTGACTTCAGTTTGGGGTATCGGGGTGCCCGAGGTTGCTTTGTAGCGAACTAATCTGTCACTTGTGCCGAGTCACGTCCACGTGTCAATCTGGTCATGTTGAGTTGTTGCTATTGCCGAGTCACGCCCACGTGTCTCCCTGTTACGAGGTCAGGCCAAATTCCCCTTCATCAGAAATGTAATGCAAAATTTAATATCAACCTAAAAATCAAACAATTTTTATTTTTAGATGGTGGGTTAGTGGTTTGAGTTAAATGATACCATAGACAAACAAAAATTAAGTGTGAAAAATAAAAAATATTTTATATAGTGTAAATGAAATATATAATTTAAAAGGAACTTATAGTCAAAGTTGGTTGTACATTTAAAATTAGGTTGTAGATTGGTCCAAAAACCAACAAGACTCTAACAATCAGCTCTACATTTCAAATTATAAAAACCCCTGCTAGGTCATCAAAGGCTTATGTGGTTGTTCAACATGGGAATTTTAGTCCACGTTGGACATAACAAAAAACCTATATCGAAAATAGGTTTTTAGTTTCTCTCCCACTCCCTTTGTCTCTCTATCTCCCTCCCTTCTCTCCTTCTCTCTCTCTCTCTCTCTCTCTCACAGTCATCTTTCAATCTCCTGTTCCCCCCATCTCTCCCACTCTCTCAGCTTCGGTATGTAGCCAAATCAAAACCTCTCTCTCTCTCTATTGTTCTCCCTCACTCTCCCTTTCGGTCAATATCTCCTTTCCCTCAATCTCTATCATTCTCTAGTTGGTTTAAATTTCATAGCTAAGAGTTTCTTATGAATTTTTATCAAATAGGTGTAATAATTTTTAAACCATACCAAGTTGGTCTCATGTTCTTTTATACGATATGATTAATACCATATAAGTGAGAAAGAAAATAAAACAAATGAAAAAGGGAGTAGGAGAGAAACTAAATGAGAACGATAAAAATTAAGGGAAAAGGAGAGATCAACCAAGAAAGAGAATGAGAGAGATTGAGGAAGAATGATAGGTAGAGAGAGAGAATGAGAGAAATTGATATAGAGAAAGTAAATACAAAAACCAAAAACCATTTTTATTTATTTTTAAATCACATATTCGTTGAGTAGATAAAGATGACTATGAGATGGCGTGAGGGAGATTGAGAGAGAGAGAGAGAGAGAGAGAGAGAGAAAGAGAGAGAGAAATTAAAAACCCTTCCTTTTATTTTCCAATCACCCAACATTAAAGGGCAACTTCAGTATAAGCTTTTTGTTGTGTCCAACATGGATTAAGAGTCCTATGTTGGCAACAACCACATAAGCCTCCAATGACATGGCGAGGGTTTTTATAATTTGAAATGTAGAGCCGGTTGTCAGAGTTATGTTAGCTTATGGACCAGTTTGTAGTCTAATTTTAAATGTACAACTGGCTCTAACTATAAATTTCCATAATTTAAAACTAATGCAAAAGCAATGCTATTTTCTTATCTAGATGGTGGTGGGCCAATGATCCAATTTTTCCAAGAAAACCCATGATGTTATAATTAAATAACAAATATTTAAGTTTATTTTTAATCATATTGTTACTTTTGTTAATTGTCAATTTCTATCTTAACTATGATATATCTAAATTTCAAATAATTAATATGAAGAAAATTTTCTTACATGCAATGCACATGCTTAATTACTAGTATCTATATATGAATGAATGTGTATAATTGAGTTATGGTCAGGTTGGGACAAGGTTGGATCGGACTCATATCGGGTTTGATTCACCTAAGGGCTAGGTTCATACCCAATCCAAAAAAATAATAAAAATCCAAAGTCTTGAGCCCAAGCCCAAGCTGACGACAAAAAAGTCTAATTCCAATTCAATCTGGGCTCGAATTGGAATGCCCAAATTGCATAGATGCATTTGGATATTTGGAGAAATTTTTGTAAATCCCATAAAATATGAAAAAGTGTGTGCAGGAATTTAAGGTATAATTACATAAAAAAAATGCTTACTTCAATTACTTATATAAAGAGAGTTTTTAGAGAAATATAAAGAGATTCATTATAACCAACTATTACATTTAAATGTCATACAATAACTTTACTAATATTGTCATCATACAATGTGTGATCTTTGAGCTTTGAGCTTTGAGCTTTGAGGCAACTGTCGGCTGGATTCAGCAGTTGTAATGGGTCAGACATTCAGACGGACCGAGGAAACCAGAAGCCAGCCTTTTTTAATTGGCAAGACATTAGACATTGGTTTAGAACAGCAGAAGCTTCTTTTCCAAGAACCATGGTATGATCATGATTCAGTAATTAATTCCTCAAATTAACCACTTTTGAAATTCAAAACCGACTGTCCCCTTCTTTGTAAGCACGACCTGTGTAGTGTCTATCCACTGTCCGGTAATAATAGGAAAAATTGAATTCCTTTCCACCTCAAAATTCCACATTCAACACCTACTCGGCTGTTCCCTCCCTCCTTTTAAGCCTTCCGGGAGATGCCGTTAACTGTTCTTCCCTGTAATTTTCCCTAAAATAAGATTGATTGTCTCATAACTTGTTCTTTGGTATAGATTGGTGCCCCGGGAAAATATTTACGCTAGAGGCATCCATAACTTGAGAAGAAAGATGAGCAGCTCGTCACCTGCACATTCTTCGGTATCGGCGGCGACGAGTGTCGGAGGAGGAGGGCAAGGAGGAAGTAGCAGCAATGCCGCTTTGGTTTCAGACGACAATTCTTCCTTCCATTTCCCTACCGATCTCATCTCTCCCCAAGACCGCAAGGAGGAGGCACTCCTCGGTATTTCGTTTTCTTTCTGTTAACTTGTTTTCTCCCCCATCTCCCTGTTTGAATTCTTTCTTTTAAAGAGCTTCTTATGGTCTAATGTTTCTCCACTTCGGATTTTGGGATTGTTTTTTATACAAGAAGATTTTGAAATTTCTATGTTTGCTTCTGTTTTGGCTGGAGATTTTGTTTGGGATGTTTGATGTCTTTAACGTTGTTACTATGGAATTTTAGGGTTTTGATGTATGTAGTTTCTGTAATTACTCTTTAGCTTTATTTCTTTCTTTCTGGTTTAGGTCTTTATGATAATGTTTTTAAGGATTTCATCGTTAGGATTTCGGGGATTCTTCCTCCATTGCTTCTGTGGTATCTATTGTCCTTGAGATAAAAGGAAGATAACTTAGAATTTTAGATTGATATTTTGGTTTGTTATACGTCCAAGAAAACTTGCACAATTGGAACTCTATTTTGTATTTTTGATAATGGCTGGTAATGCTGTTTGTTTTGGCGTTTCAGTTCTGAAGTCTGATTTGATGGCTGCACTTCACAAGGTTGTAAAGTCCTTAGATGACGATAATTGGATGTTTACTGCACCCCGCTCCCAAATTAACCTTATTTCAAGACCGGGCAAGTCCTTCGACCCAAATTTTCTCTTTTGAATTCTCAAGTTTTGGATCTTTTGTTTTAAAAGGTTAATTTGCATAATCCAATTCAAGCATTTGTAGAATTTTCTGAAATTAGTATAGTGGAGTGATGATGAGTCAGTTACCAACTCTAATCGGATGAACTGTTTCCAAAAAAAAAAAAAAAATAGGATGAAGAACCAGATAGAAATAGTTTGAACCTTGGTGTGAAATGTTTGGCAAATCAAATGAGTTTTCTTATTCATTTATTTGTTCTTTTTCTTATTTTCTTTAGTTCTATTGCTACTTAACATAGCAACATGTTTCAATTGGTTCCCTGTTATAGATCATTCCATCAAGAAATTTCCCACCAGAAGCACTTCATCTGACATAGGTTCCTCCATCTAGCCTCAATATGATAAAACCCTCAGTGCCTCAATATTTCATTATAATCTGACAAATTGGTGGAGAATGTGCTGCCAATAGTATTGTGTTTTCTTAGTAATTTACCTGCCCCACCTAACTGTTACAATTTCTCTTGTAAGGAATTTATGACAACATTCCAATGTGTTATTATTTCTGTGTCAAGGCTTTCTTGGGTCCTAGGTCTATGGAGAGGATTAAGGAAATATGAAACTCTATGTATTGTGCAATCTCTCTTGTAAGGGATTTATGGAAATATTCCAATGTGTTATTATTTCCAAGTCAAGGCTTGCTTACCCAGGGCTATGGAGAGGCTTAAGGAAATATGAAACTCTATGTATTGGAGCCTTATCAGCTCTTTGGAGGGAGTCATTCTTGTTGATATATCAGCCCAAGATAGTAGAGTTTGTACCTTGAACCCTATGGATTGTTCTTATATGCCTCTTTTTGTTGTTGCCCTTTCTCCAATGACATTCCCAGTTTGGAAAGCCAAGTTCTCTCTAAAACCAGAGCTTTTGTGTTGGAGGGTATTTCATCTAAGGCCTCGTTCACTCTTTAAAAAGCTATTTACCTAGGTAAGTTCAGTTACCCAGGTAAGTTTTACCTAAGGCCTTGTTAATATATCAGCTCAAGATAGTAGAGTTTGGACCTTGAACCCTATGGATTGTTCTTATATGCCTCTTTTTGTTGTTGCCCTTTCTCCGATGACATTCCCAGTTTGGAAAGCCAAGTTCTCTCTAAAACCAGAGCTTTTGTGTTGGAGGGTATTTCATCTAAGGCCTCGTTCGCTTTTTAAAAAGCTATTTACCTAGGTAAGTTTAGTTACCCTGGTAAGTGTAACCTATTGCTTGTGCTCTTTTGATTCCCAGATAAATTAGGCAATTGGGCAAAATTGTCCCAACACGTTTTGTCAACTTTTCCCCTGGGTGGGAAGGTTACTTATCTACCTAGGAGATGGGTATCACTTACCTGGGAAGTGATTCTTCCATGGGTCCCACATGAATGTGAATAAAGAACATGGGAAAAGCAGTCAATGGGAACCACAATCCCATTGACCAACTTCTCCCCCTTCAGAATTCGAAAAACGAGCAGGACCTAAAGGTTAACATTTCCAATGTCCTTCAATGGAGAAGACTTGATTGGTGTCTATTACTCCATATCTGTGTCTAATACAAGGCAATTGCTTAGCTCTTATGTCTCTTGTATTTGGGAGCTTCCTTCTCTCTATTTGGATGAAAGTTTACACTTTCCTGGGATTTGAAGAGCCTTTCTGGATTCTTTTTTTCTTTTCTCAACTAAGAAATGAAAGGTCGATATACACCAATCAAAAAAATCATATAGTGATATTTATTTGGGCTGTTCTCAATTGATGACATCCTCAGGGGCTGGCAATGGGTAGTAACCCCAACCTCATCATCAATAACAACCAAGGAGCTATAATGTTTATGTTTTTTTGTCCCAATTGGTCATTGATCATGGTGACTCAATTAGGACTGAATTGCATGTAGTACTTGAAGGGTCTAGGTTCGGGAGAGACCTGAACTACTGAAATATAGTGGTATAAGGAGATTCAAGGATAATTATTGGCTCCAATATAACAGTCCTGGATCATGGCAGTATAGGCACATAATGAGAGAAGTGAGAAACCTAGCAAGAGAGTTCAGGGCCTCATATACTCAAGGTATATGAACGTATGAATGAAAAATACAAGTCTATAGGGGTGCTTGGATCATCTCATTTCTTCATTTCAATTCTTTTATAAGTGATAAAATTTGACAGGTTACTAATAAATAAATGGATTGATATCTGGGGTCTTACTCAATGTTTGTTCCAGCTATCTGGGGGTCTTGGGAGGGGTGGATGGGATATGGACCTAACTTTTGGCACTTTTTTTTTGCACAAAGTGGCCACTCAAACTCAAACCTATAATAATCTCATGCTTGCCAGCCTGAGATTTTACCATTACACCAAGCAATGGCCACACAAATGAATAAATAAATATAGTTAGTGTTATTATTTGCCATTGGAAACTTTCTATGTGAAAAGATACAATTTATTATGGTGCATTATTAAACAGGTAATGGTAAAAAGAAAGGGCACTTGAAAGGTACACATAGAAACTTTATTTCTCTGGAATCTTTTTCTTTTTTCCCGACCAGCTAAAAGAATGGAAGTCACTGTATTTTTGTTTGTAAACTGTTTATCTTTTTTTTTTCCTATCTTCCTGAATTCTTTTGGATTTTCTTAATTTTTTTTCTACCTTTGTCAACTTCTTTTAGGTGGCTTTCCACACAAGAAAACAGAAATTGCAAAGAGGTGGAATTTTTCTCAGCCAAAATGATTTTTTCTACTCAAGCAAATGGAAGCTGGAAGGCCTTTTGAATGCTGGAAGGCCTTTTGAGTTGGTTATAAACCGGCAATCCTAACATTGGTAACCGTCAAATTTGTTGCTTTTCTATCAAGATTGTTGTTTCAATTCTGTTTCTTTTTGTAAGAGACCCAATGGCTGGTTTCCCAATTGAACATTCCAGATGAATTTGTAGTTGGTCCACTTTTGGGATAGCATAAAAGAAGCAGTGTTTTTTATTCTCAAAATTCATCAGGGTTGGGTGTATATAAACCTATTTGGTGCTGATCCTAGGCTCTTTGATCGCCTGGCTGGGAACATGAATGGTGAGCAAGGATGATTTTATCATAATTTCTGAAAATTTAATAAAAAAAAAGTCAGGTGATTTTAATAAAACACATGATTGTGGCCAATGCTATCAATCTCAACACGGACACCTCAATTGGGTTTGAATATGATAGCGGGAAAATGGAGCCAACCAATATGAGGTGCAAGGTTCAAAGTATCGATACGTATCGTTCCGGGATCTCTCCGCTTCTAAAATGAGTGTATATCAGAGGTCTGACTGGTTCAGGGGTAGAGGAGACTTAAACCGGCACCCCTGAATTGGTTACAAAGAAAAAAATTAAAAAAACCTGAAACACTGTATCAATTCGCCCGATACACCGTGTGATTTGATTGGTCAAAGCTAATCCGGTACCATGTCTAGATTTTCCCTGAATACCACGTACCACCTGATTTATCACTACCCGTACCGTAAGTCGTAATGACAGGTATCCTTTTGTAATACCGGAGTGAGAGCTCAAATTTTGTGGACCCTCGGGTTCACAGGAAGCATGCATGTGCGAATGAAAAATGAGCACGTCACCTTATTAAGTTAATAGGAATTTAATGGAATTACTCTGTTAAGGCTGGTCCAACCAGCCACTAAAAGACACAAAAGTGAAAAACGACAACCTCCTCCATTCGAATTCCTCTCTCACCGTCTTTCAGCATCAAACCATAGCAACCAAGTTGGGAGACCGATTATCGGTGACCGAGGGTAAAATCATCATCTTCTTCTTCTTTTCCTGTCACAGGCGGAATGGAAGTGCATGATACGTAGGTAGAAAAAAGAAAAATCGGAAAACAACAAAGAAGAAGGTAATAGCGAACAATTGATTTTTTTTAATTGTCCCTGGGTGGATTTTCTCTCATAATACCTCAAGTAGCAATTCGGCTTTATTCATGCTTTCCTTTTCTCCCACTCAAATGTCAGAGCTCAGCCTACTTTAATGATCTTAATTTTGAAGGTTAGGCTTACTTTACTCCGACAACAACTGGTAGCCGTTGATTCCTTGCTATCGGATCAGACAGAGGGTGTTGGGATTTTGGGACACGGCCTTAAGATTTCAGAGGATTGTTGTCGATAAAAAAGAAAAGGGGAAAAAGAAGAAGATGGAGGAGAAAGAGAAGAAGAATTTATTGTCAGTCTCTGGTTGTTGGTTGATGCCTCACGCTGAACGTTGATTATTGTGGTGGCTGGTGGTCTAGTTACAATATGTTGAGATTTGAGAGACAGTAGGAGGGGAGTTCGAATAAGAGAGGGAAGTATTATTGGGTTTTATTGTTTTTTGTGTCTTTTAGTGTCTGGTTCAACCAATTAGACCATTATTAACCAAGTAGCCCTGTTAAACTCTTGTTAACTTACTAATACGACATGTTCATTTTTCATTTGTAGGTGCACACAACCTAGGGCTGTTCACGGGTTGGGTTGGGTCGATTTATTGAGGTTTTTCCAATCGATCCGACCTGGTCGGGTTATCTGAGATGGAAACCGAAACCGACCCAATGTTAAGCAAAATCGACCTGGTCGGTTTGAGTCGGGTTGGGTCAGTTTAGGTCAGTTTCGGCTCTAAGTTCATCCATGCCCCCCATGGCCACCTAGTTTTCTGGAAATATATTTAAAACTGAAATATGTATTTTAGAAATATATATATATATATATATAAACAAAAATATACATAAAAATATATTGGAATATATATTTTCAGATATTTCAGTTTTTAGTTAAGTAGGAACTAAGTCGGTTCGGTTCAAGTCGGTTTCGGTTTTCACATAAGAAAACTGAAACCGACCCGAACCATCGGTTTATGAATTTGTACAACCCGAAACCAACCGGTGCTGATGAAAACTTGGCCGACTCGGGTTGGGTCGGTCCGGGTTGATCGGTTTGGTCGGGTTGGGCCTTCTTATGTACAGCCCTAACACTTCCTATGAACCAAAGGGTCCACAAGATTCGTGCTCCCATAGTGATATGTTTTTTTGTTTATTATCGTCGATACGCGATGATGCTTTTCCTTTCCATCAACACATGGTGGTCTTCATTCTTCACTCTTCTATGTTCCATTAACTTAATAGAGTTCGCATTGATGGGTTCACGGGATGCGTGCACCATTGAATAGGAGATGTACACGTTGGTCCCTTTGATCTAGCATGTGTTTTGTTCAATGGGCGTTTTATGATAGACATTTATCAAAATGCCACCATGTCATTGCCAAATCAGCATTTTCGTATCATATTCATTTGTATGCATTGATATTCCCAAAAGTGGGTTTTGATTTATATGCACACCAACTATTAGGAAAAGATTCATTTTAATGCTTCTTCCAACGGTTGAGCATTTATTCACTATTTCATTGATGTAGTGCCATTCGCCCAATTGTCCGTAAAATAGTTTATCAAATACTTTTCTCAATTTTGAAGACAAATCAAGTAGAAATATTTATTTAATAAACGGAAACTATATCAAACACATACCTAATATGCACATAATGGCAAATTTTTATTAAATTTGAATTATCTGAACCGGCACTAAAAGAAAAAATTTCAAAGCCCCTCCTTTGGAATGATGAGGGGTTCGGATGAACAGAAGACAATAATTTACAACACGGGCCGGGCACTGTTGTAACACGTATTAGTTTTTGAAAAATAACGAGAGAAGGGTTAAACTGTCCATTACATCTCTTTTAGTTTTTAAATTGATTTTTATAGAAGCCAAATAATATTATTTGTTAACCTTTTGTTTCCAGAGGCCCCCAACAAGTCCTATTCCGGTTTACGAGCAATCTTTTTCCGTCTTTCTCTGTTATAGTATGTAATAGGAAGAAGAGGGAAAATAGCTAATGAAGCTTTAATAGGATGGGTCGTCATTTCAAATTGATGTTCATCCAAATTCTTAGGATATATGTTTTATTGGAAATAAAACTAAACTTCTCGTTTCAAAGGTTTTTTCGTCTGTTGTAGAAAAAGTAGTAAATGGAGGAAGGACAAAATAATCTCAGCATTGCTCCCTTAGCTATATCTGTCTCCAAGAATGATTGATTGAAGAAAATGTAGAACCCAAAGGAATCGCCTTCTTCAGGGTGCTAGTTTCCACAACTAAGAATTTGGAGGGACTTGAGCACAGTAGAAGCATCGGTTTCTGCTAAGGAACGAACCAAAGAAATTTGGATTTCAAGGTAACCCCATGGGGATTGAGAAGTCTGAAATTAGTAAAAGTGGAGAATTTGTTGAATAAAATGAGGAGATATCTCTAATTTCGCTGTAGTTGCTGGTGTTAAGCCTTAGGGGAGAGGAGTTCTTCGAAGTGCTTCCATGACTACCTCCAAAGACAGAAAAGCAAAACCCTTTTAACCTGCTAGGTCCATTTGCTTTCTCTCGGTACAATCTCCCTGACATCTTTGCAATTTGATCAATAATTTCCCCAATCTTCCACAATCATATCATCTTATGATCTCAGAGTAAACTTGATTCTTCGAAATGTAACAATGACATTTCCAATTTTTAATTAAAATTATCAGATGAATCAAATAAAAAAACAAAAGAACAAAGAAAATAAAAATATGATGTTGAAATGAGCTCCCTTTTTCTCTCCTTTTTGCAGTTAGAAAAACTAAAAAGTAACGGAGAGTTATCTACCCTCCTGTTACTTTTATACGCTAAGGGAGAAACAAGAGACATCTTACAATGCGATTGAGTGCCCAGCCCGCGTTGTAAATTCTTGTCTTCATCTCATCCAGATCCATTTGGGAGCTCATTTGAGCTCCCCTTTCCTTTCCCTTTGAGTGGAGTCTGGATCTCCTGCCCACATCTACCTACATAACATTGCAGCCACACATGGAGAACATCTCATTCTCCTACATAGTATTATGCAGGGAGAGATGTTCTCAATTCACGGGGGTAATGTGTTGTGGGTAGACATGAGCAGAATTATCATGGGCAGGAGATTCGAAGTCGTTTGAGTTAGCCCTATCCTTGTAGCAGACCATCGGTAATTTCTCTACCAATGTCTGATGGCAGTAAACACTTTCCTCTTCTCCTTCTCCTTCTTCTTTTTCTTCATATTTTGTTTGCAACCAATCTTCTTATTATTTGTTGTTTGATTTTTTCCATCTTCTTCTTCCCATCGAAGCCGGAGTTATCGGCAGCACCTTGGTTGAGGGTGCAAGCTTCTTGTTAATCGAGGGGTTCATACAATGCCAACTCAACTTCATAATAATGGGTTAGGCTTGGTAACTTCTAGGAAGCAAGCCCTTACCTACCAATACATATTATTACCCTAATACGTATATCTCCTCTCTAAAGTCTAAAGACGATGAGTTTTTAGCTAGTTGCAGTCTTGCAGAGAGATCCCATTGTGTAAATAGAATAGAAGGCATATATACATTGAGCCAAAAACTGTTGATTTGGTCAGAGAACCATTGAATTGAGTAGTTGAACTATCGATCCAAACAATAATTTTTGGCCAATTTTTATTTTATTATTTTTTTATTTTTTAAAATCAGAATGAGCTGTCTGTTCAAACTAGATAGTCGGACTGTTTGACCCGGGAACTGGTCCCCAAAATGGTTATGTGTCTGGTCCGACTTTTAAAACCTTGGATCCATATATACACCACACTCAATATTTTTCTCAAAAAATAAAGAAAAATGTAGGAGACACAAAAATTGATAAAAATTTAAACAATTATGCTAACAAATAGGCAAATTTTCAAAAAAAAAACATAAAAATGATATTTTTTTCCAAAAATATATTTCAACCAAGAAATCATAATTGTAGAAAAATAAATAAAACGATACAATTTTCAATATATATAAAGAAAAAGGCAAATTTTGCAAAAACAAAAACAAAGAAAATGATAAAAAATAAAAATATATATATAATTCAACAAACTATATAGAAATTGTAAAGAAAACACAAATTTTATGAATTTTATGGTCAATGTAATAGGGAAGGGCAAATTGAGAAGCCAATTTACCATTTAAATGGTCAAAGTTGGGTATTTTGGTAAATTTTCCCTCTTTCGCCAGCTCAAGATAATGAAGGGGGTGTAAATGTGACAGTGTCAAAAAGCTCAGGGGAGGATAGTGCTATTAGCATAAAGCATGGTACAGAACCGCAATCATAAAAAAATACAGGGGTGATTTCAGCAATTTACCCTTTTGATTATGCATGTATTTAAGAGAGAGAGAGAGAGAGAGCTTAGGGGTATTCTGCAACATAAATATTATTTTATTTTATTTTTTAATGAAATTGCTACATCAACAAATTCTATAATGATTATGTTTTTGCTGAAAACATGTTTTTATTTTTTTATATTTTATGAATCTATAATTATTATTTTATTAGCACTTAATTTTGAATATTTTATTACAAGTTTGTTAATAATTTATTATTTAATTAATAGTTTATTAGTATTTAATAATTAATATCTTAGTATTTGTTATTAATTTATGAATATTTTATAAACATGTTATTATTTTACTAATATTTTTTGTTTTATTATTATTAATCATTAATATATTATTAATGGAAACCCCATGTCAGTAAGTTGGCGTTAAATAGACTAATGGATGTAGGTAGATTACTACTTTACTCTTTGTTCTATTGTAAATGGAAACTAAAGTAAAACTTTGATAAAAAAACAACAAAATTTTATTTCAAATATTTCAGTCTAAAAACTTTTTTGCCCATTTTATATATTTAAGTAAAAAGGGAGTTTCAAATAAATAAAAAAAAAAAGAATGCTTTTGATTCAAATCAAACTCATCTGACGGTCCCTATCTACTTGCACAGCACAACTGTCACTTTATCCCTTTTAATTTCAAATGCAATAAAAAAAAACAAGATCAAGAAATGATCTATGGTCAAGAAGATGACACGTGGCTCTGTAGGACCCAGCATCTGCCAATGAACATTAACGGATGGTGAGTTTTGAAAAACAAAAATGTCATTGGCATAGGGTTCCTTTGATGTTTTGAAAAGTTAAAGAAAGGCTGAAAAGTCACTGGTGAGTTCTTTACAAATAATTTTCCTTTTTCATGAAGTGTAGTTTCACATTTAGCAAAGTCACTTTATCATCACGTTCAACCAATAATCGATCATGTCTTTTTGGCTATAGATTTTGCCAATACTTAATAAGTAATGGCATTGAATCTAATGTTGAAATTATTGTGTAAAGAATATACATATAAATACATACTTTAATAGTCTATTTGAAAAAATAAATTACAATCAAATAATTTCAAGAACAAGCATCAACCAAAGTCTCAATTCCCAATCTACTAAAAATTTAATAAAAGACATTAAATCATTAATATACTCGCTAATGGCTATAAAGCCTTTTACAAACTATTGCATGTATTAAACCTTTAAAAGGTTATTATTTATTTCAAGATAAATTCTAAATTAATAATATGAAAATATATACCTGAAAATGTATTAGATCTATGAAAAAGTAGAAGATTCATGTATCCAAAAACCTAAGGTTCAGTTTGGAAGGAGTACAAATGCAAATTTGTAGAGTGCAAATACATACAAAATACAAGGTTTTACGCTCTACAAATTCGCATTTATATTCTTTCCAAACTGAGCCTAAGAGGCAATTATATATATGCACTTGTTATATTTTAATTGCTGAAACAATTATTTAAGTCAATCTTAAATTCTTAATATGCCTAACTAATACCTAATAGCCATCTAGCTTCTTAACCTTAAATCCAGTGTAGGTAATAATTTGTAAGAAGCTAGAATTATTAGGTAGCATATTAATAGCCATTAGCTATATATCCCTGATTGCAGTCATGTTCCTGCCAAGGGATTCCAGGGTGACAATAAGTTTATTGATGATCTTTCCTACCAATCAGGTGGTTATTTATTAAATTCACAAGGTGAGGGGGTTGATTTAACTAAATCCCCTACCACCTGAGCAGATATATATAAATTCATTCTCTCTCATCATCAACTTAAACCATTGAATCTCTCCCCTCTCAATAACTTTACTAATTCTATTGAATTCTACCACCATATGCCATGCCATGCCATGCTTCAACAACTTGTTATAACCATATGAATTCTAAATTTTAACTCAAATATCTCTTCTCAATGCAAACCTGTCAATAAATTTTAAGAAATAGTTCATCATTAAAATTTATATATTTATAAAAAAAAAATAATAATATTATTATTATTGTCATCTAAGACCTAGATTTAGTTTCATTAATGTGATTTTCTTGACTTGTTTGAATTTTCTCAGTGTATCAATATGACACTCCTTGTGTTTCACACTTGAAGCCTTGCTTCCAATTGCAACTGGGCCAAAATTATAGTTTAGAGTTGAGCTTGAGGTTAGAAATCATCAAATCTAGATGCATAGGCTGCATTTGTTTTCAGTGTAAATATTTATGGATGTAACAGTATATCAATAGATTTCAACACCGACCGATTTAAATGAGTGAATCGTTGTAAAGTGAAAAGATATAATTATTGGTCTTTGGAAGATTCTCAATGCCTAACGTGACCCTATATTAGAAGGCAGAAACTAGGCCATTCTAGTTCTGACTTCTGACACAAAAGCCTACAAATAAGGATGGCCATTCTTTGTTCATTCACGTCCTGTATATTAGCACTCCTTCTGGATAATCTTCAAGTCTTAGACATGAAAAAAGACTGTCAATTAAAGCTGGATGGTCCAGCCAGCAGAAAACTTTTGTCATCGTTACATTGTTTTTCATCTCTCTGCTGCTGTTGCTACTTTCTTCAATGTAAGATGGGATAATAGCAGAACAAAGTAAGAAATAGCAGCACCTAAAGCTGCCGTGTGATGGCAACGATTGAGACCAAGTGTGGCTGTGGGATTTATGGGTGTGCATTTGGTTTATTTGGTCAAAAATCAAATCAAATTTTTAAAATCGAAATTGTAAAAGATAAAATCAAAATTAAATTAGTAAAAATCAAAATATTAAAACCAAAATTTTTGGTTCAGTTTTCAGTTATTTTGGTGAAATAATATATTATATTATACATATTTTAATATATATAATAAATTTTGGTTAAATTCAATTAATCGAATTTCTAATCATGAAAATTAAAACCGAAGTTCTATAAAATCGAATAAACCAAAAACCAAACAAATGAAACTGAAATTTTCTATTCGATTTTTCAGTTTTAACTTATCAATAAAAAAAGAAAAGAAAAAAAAAAGTGTTTTGGGGCTTGGAGTGGAATGGGCCTAACATCCTTAACAAGCTTTCCTACACATTTGCTCACGGCAACCACAATTTAAGAAATTCTGAGGGAAGAGAATAGACTTGAGTTATGGATCACAAAACGATTTCATGTTAGGGCCAAGCTTAATGTTAGATCTCATTTTACATCCTTAATCACCCATCAATCAGACGATTAGGAAAATTTCTAACCGACCAAACAAAAACAACAGAAGAACCTATTTCTGTTTTGTATATGGTCATTAATTATTTATTTATTTGCTGAGCATATATGGCTAGTAGTTGGTTACAAAGTATATATGAGTTTATCATCATCATCTTAAGCTTTGTCGCAAGGGTAAATTGCTGATTAGTACCCTATACTTTGAGGCTAGATCAGAAAGTATTTACAATACTTGAATTCCCAAAAACTCTCAAATTAGTATCCACCATTAGCAATCCGTCATTAATCTGTATCATGTGACAAGATGTGTAACTTAAATTTAGTATCCATGGTTAGCAATCCGTCAGTTATTTGTATCACATACGAGATGTGCGACTTAAATTTAGTATCCACTGTTAGCAATTTGTCAGTTATCTATATCACGTGACGAGATATGCGACTTAAATTTTTTAAAAATATCAAAACTAACATTTTTTAATTTTTTAGTCCATTTTACCTTGATTGTCTTCTCCAGTAACAACGAAAGTTACTCATCTTCTTTGACAACAATGATGGTCTAAACACCCCTTTTGTTATGGATTAAATAACTAAGAAAAAAAATTACAATGGCAGTGGTCTAAATACCTCCTCTTTCGTGACATTTTTCTGTGTAGCTTCTCTGGTAAGAAGCACGGGCTCTTCGGCAGAAGGTTAGAGCATAAAGTGAACAGTGAGTGGTTCTCAGTTGCAATGAAATTAAAGGGATTTAAACGTGACTATTTTAGCATTTTCAAAGTGATGCTTCTCTCACCTATTCAAAACTCAAAAGGGTAATTGTGTCCTTTCACATTTCATCTAACATCAGTTTAAAATTTTGGACAAAAACTGGCAATTTTTGAGAGCTGAGGTATTGCAGTGGCACGCTTTGAAGTCCGGGTACTAAAGTGAGACTAGCTCCTAATATAAAAAGTGATACGGTTTGTTCAGTCGGGTATGGGCACTTAAATCGTTTCTTGTATCTATCACCCGAATCCTTTTGGTAAGCCCATATATAGCTCTTCTGGGCCCCTTCAACTTGTAACGGCTCTCTTTTGCTACAAAGTACGAGTGTTATTCTATTTAAACTGGAAATCCACCATAATAGCCATGAAAACATAATAGAGATATTTAAATATCTTACTCTAGGCTCTTAGATATAAATATATAATTTCCCCAACCACTTTTTTAAAGGCTATGTAATGTAGCTAGGGTTCAAGAGTATATATATGAGCTGTAGCTGCTATGAGCTTATTTGGGGTCTTAAATTTTTGTAGCCTACTATTGGCCACAGCAGAAAACAAAAACATGTTTCAGTCATGTCTCTTTTGATGTTCTCCATTAAAGCCAAATAGGAAAGTCATAAGCAACAAAACAAAAATTTGATGGGTCTTAATCAATTATAATAGGAGAACTTTCAGATTCTCCTATATTGCTTATGAAATCAGATGGGAGGTCACCATTGAGAACTTGAACTTTAAACCTGAGAATATTAGGACTGCTCTCCATCAGTTCAAAGACACAGCCATCTCCAATCTTCAGCTTGTTGTCAATTACGAAATGTCTCCAGGCCATGTTGAACCGTTTGCAGCCTCGATCTCCATAATAATACATCTTCCAACTCTTATTCCTGAAGGTTAGTTCCACAGGGACCATAGCTGAAGGCAGATATTGTTGCAGTTTGGATGGAAGCACCTGCAAGCAGGATGGAGACCAAGGGAAAATCAGAACATATTGTTATGAGATTACAGTGATTCCATAAACCTAACCTGTACTGGATATATTGCACAGCATCCATAATTCCGCATCCACTATTAACAGTGGTAATAGCAATAGTAACAAGGCTCAGTAGTCCAAATGCAGTGGGACTGTGGGAGTAGTGAAAGACAGTTGAGTCATGAGTATGTGTTGTGGACCATAATTGAGTCACATGGCATGGAGATCAATCTCTACTCCCACATTCAACTGCCCTAAATTAGGTGGAGGGTGGGGCAACAATGTTTAACATCCAGACAGGTCTGCCCTTGTCCAAACTCCTAATAGTTTACTTACTCTGCAACCTACAATCAGAAACTCCTAGACTTCCATACTCTAAGCCTCCTAGTCTAAGATGCATGGATTACCAAAATGTGTGCTGGGGAATCCTCTTTGAAGAGATGCCTTTTGATATCTATCTACATTTTTTTTCTAAATTCTCACTAGTACTTTCTTGTCACTAGTTAAGCTCCTATTAGATATTAGTCTAATAAATAAAACTAGACTCCTGGCATACGGACATTGCCTATGCAACAGCTAGGTAAACCATATTCCAGGATGAACCCTGTTCTTTGACTACATATGTCACTCTTCTGACAAACTTAGTGATATTACATATCTCCCAATTCATGTTAATCACTTAATCTTATGTCACATAGTTATCCCCCTTGATTACCAGCTCCAAAGCCATGTATCCATCACTGAAGAACATAGAAGATGTGGGCAATTGTAAGCAACATTTCTGAAAGAAGAAATTTGAGGTAACTTATGAGACCCATCATAGGTAATGACTTAACTAAGGAGAATCCATTGTCTCTGGATGAGCAGAACCATCCAATCTATGGACCTTTTCATCATCATTAGCCACGCATTTCCTAACCTTACAAACCAGAAGATTGCAATGGCAGATTCTTATGATGATCCAAGTTAGTTAATTTTTAGTGTGGGTAGTGGGTAACGAATCCGGATCTGCTCCTCACAGAGCGTTCACACCAACCTCACAACACATCCAATCATGCATTGGGATCATCTCCCCATGAACGACATCATACAGGGCCAACTGCTGCAATGTGCTGTGAGGTGGGTGTGAGGAGCAGATCTGGTCTTGTGGATGATGTATCTGATTACCAGGGCCAACTGCTTGGTGCAATGGTAAAATCTTGGGCTGACAATTGTGAGAATGAAGGTTTAGGTCTGAGAGTGGGAACTTTGTACCAAAATTTAGGTCCATATTCAATATACCCCTCCCAAGAACACATATAGATGGGACCATCATTGGGTAATGCCCATTTATAACCTATCTGATTACCCATCCAATGGTGGATTGCATACCTTGTCCCATGCATATTGTTTTCAAAGTCCACTGGTAAACATTTAGGCCCCGTTCACTTTTCGGGTAAGTTACTTACCCGGGTAAATGCACTTATCCTGGTAAGTCTTTCTTGGGAAAAAGACTTACCAGGATAAGTGCATTTACCCATGTTCTTTTATTTACCATGAACAAGGCAATGATCATTTGAGCCATAAAAATCCATTATTCCCATTGAAGTGTTGGCAACTTTTCCCCCTGCAAAAGTTATTTACCCACCTAGGAGATATACCCAGAAAAATAAACTTTCCCTAGTCCCCACATAAATCTGAATAAAGAACATAGGTTTCTTGGTCAATGGGAATATTCCCATTGACCAACATTCCCCCCTCTCAAAATCCAAAAAAAGAACACCCCCTTAGAGGTCTTTGAATGAAGATAAACGAATGATTACCACTTGATATAAGGGTTTGAAGTGAGATTTCGTAAGAATGCAATAGAAGTATGGATTCCCTGAGAGTGGAGAAATTTTGTTGTCCTGCAATCTCACACTCGTAGGCTTCAATTGGGGTTGGGCCTTCAGATTATCCATCTGGTGCTCCATGCGGGAAACATGAGATCTAAGATTCTTCCTTGTCTTGCCTGCTGGAAAGGAAAAGAGAATCAGTGCACAAACTGGTATCTTTCACTCTGCCCATGATATGACATTTCATGGAATCTCTACATGATTCAGTGAAGTAGCACAACCTTTTTCATTTTCTTGTCTACAGTGAGTACTGGCGCTCTGCATACTGGAATAATCTGGCAAATCACCTGTCTGCAAAATATACCTCAAATCAACTCAACTATGCCTTGTCTGGGTCTGCTACTTGAATCCTGTTCCGCCATTCTTCTCTGTTCAATGTAATATCCTTTGTTAAATTATGAGCCCCTTAAATCATACCTAAAGTTTGTGCTGAATGCTTTCAATGAGGAAAGTTATAAATGTTAAGTGATCATGAAAGGAAGAAATTTACAAAGAGATAGCTAGGTTACATTTGAGCTTTCTAAGGCATTCCACTAATTAACTAAATTTTCTAGTCAGGATAAGGATGAATCTTAACCATCATTGGAAGAATCCTACATGTAAACAGGAATGAACAAGGAAATAAGAAAGCAAGGAAGAACATTAATGGTTTAGAAAGATATAAAGAAAGAAGAATATCAGTGTTACTTTTACCCATTAGCATAAATTTAATCTTCTTGCATTACTACTCTTGTCAAGAATTCAAGATACATGATATCAAGGTTATTGATTCAACACAATGATTTATCAAAAAAAGAAAAGGTTGTTCAATAAACTCACACTTCAGAGGTCCTACATGGCTACATTACATATTTTGGAAGTTGCATGAAAGTTTCTGTATGCAATATATAGTGCAATAAAAATCAACTCTGGCACCAGGAGTATGCAATAAATTCCCTTTTTTTAAATGATTTTTTATCAGTAATAACAATCAAAGCGCTTTATTAATAGAATGGTTTCAGAAATACAAGAATAACTTGAAAATTGCCTTACCCCACTAACCCACTTAACCAGAAGAAAAAGAAAGAGAAAGGGAAAAGAAAAAAAGAAAAAAAGAAAAACCAACTAGGCAGTTATCGATCAGAGAAGAGAGCTTAAAAAGAAAAATATGCCAACAAATGATGATAAAAGACTGAAGTGCAACATACTCATTTAAGCAAGAGCCTGATAAAATAAAAATAAAGCAATAAACAAACAATACCAGCAGATGATATCATAGCAGAACTGAGTTTTTCTTTTTTTCTGATATACAACAGAAATTAGAATTTTAAACACTCACTAGTAACACAATATTTCAACGGAGAATGAACATAGAAAGGAAGAATGAACATAGAGAGAAGAAAGAGAGACCATGATTACCTACCAAACTTTAGCACAGAGCCTCCTTCCACCGAGTTTGGGAGAAACCACCATCAGTATCCCCAGGCCACCCCTCTCCTCTCTGGTCAATGAATGATTCAGTTGTTTAGAATTCCAAGAATAAGAAAAGACAAACCCAAGTTTGATTTTCTGAGGCACAGGTCTGGCTCACATGGAGCACAGGACCTGATTGTGCAAAAGGAAAAAAGTTATGATATTCGAATCTCTATGCGAATAAGAGGAGAGGAAAGCGTTGGACCGTTCATCAATAAAAGTTTAAAACTCATAAATGACAGGCAAAAGGAGGAAGCCACGATGGAGTCTCTGTTCTCTCTCAGTTCCTTTTTCTTTTTTTTTTTTGTCTGTTTTTTCATGTCGACAGAGCAGAACAGGGAGAATCAAAGTTCACAGGCGACCGGAATTTCAGGCTCTCAGCCACCCAAAATGGAAAAGCATAATAGTCTGTCTCACTTCTACTTCCATTTCTATATGAATGTATTGGAATTTGGAAACTGTAAAGGTCGTGATAACGTGAGGGTGATATTGAGAGTTGGGATCTCCTCCTGCACTTTCATTGATGCAGGCACGCCCACCTGCACTTCCACTCAAATGGTTACACGTTAACCACATTTGGGAATCGGGATTCACCTGTGCGAGTTTACTGGACGGAGAGATAAACCCCCGTTATCATATATGTGTTCTTATTTTTCAAATTCAAAGCAAGAAATAAAAAATTTCCTCTAAAGGCATAGACAATAAGGCAAGGCACAGACTGCCACTGGTGCAATTCCATGCTTTTCCTTTTGCTTTTTAACCAGAAGAAGAAGATTCATTAAGAAAGCAGAGGAGCAGTATTACAGAGTCAGTTTCACAGAGGAGGACATGACTCAAGAAATGACTGATGTATTTTGAGCAGAAGGCATCAGCTCCCATGACTTGTTCAAGAACCAGACCATTCTGTTAAACTAGTTATTTATGGGTACCGAGGGAGAAGCAGAGGAATCAATGCAGATTCATCACTTGGAAACAAAATTCAGTAACCCGGCCATATTCATTTAAATTCTTCGTCTGCTCTGCTCTGTTCTGTCCTTTGACTCCTTTCCCTCTTCTTTGTTTCGTCTCTCGAGCCACAGTCAAGCCATATTTCTTTGTTAATCTGAAAAAGAGGACATGATAACGATAACGGGGTTAAACTCTGCAGTCTCCATTAATGGAAGTTCGAACAAGTGAGTATGGATTCCCGTGCATAGCTAACGTGTAACCATATGAGTGCAAGTGCACGAGGGCGTGGATTAATACGAGTGCAGGAGGAGATCCCAACAAAACTTGAAAAACTTTTCATTCTTGCTTCTCGGCAAATGTTATGATAAAAAAAGGCATAAAGCTGCTAACCTCATATGTAGCCAGTTAGCCACACAACCCCATGAATTTTCTATCCTATAAGCTACATTATTTTTTAAGGGTACAAAAACGCCCCCCACTGTCATTTAAATTTTCAAAAACATGCACTCTCAGAACAATTATAGTCTCATGATTGAACAATAATTTCCACTATTTTTGCCATTTATATAATTTTCTGATATGTTACAAATTGACCCATTCAACCGGGATGGTAGAACCAGTGACCTGCAACATGGACGGTTCAGCCTCTAAGATGGTGTTTGGTATCGATGTAGCTTTTTTGAGCAATGGTGCCAGCTCACCAATAGGTACGTAATGGCGGTGAGGTGCAAAAAATCATTTTTGAAGACAAAATCATATAAATTGATACCAAACATGTTCACTAAGTTGGTTTTTAAAGCATTGCATTTTGCAAGGCATCAATCATTATTCATTCAAATTTGCAAGTTGGACTTGTAGTTCATGAATTGGCTAGTGTGTCCTTAGGTATAAGTGGCTTTGCTTCCACCTCACAGCACTTAGTAGCCATGCATCATAATCATATCCTCATGAATGAAAATATATAAATATAGGAGATGTTCCCAATGTGCTGCTTATGAGATGGGTGTGAGTAGGAAACCCGAACTTGTTTATGTCATATTTCATAGTCATGAAGAATATTATGATATTTCAATTTCAAGTGTTTGATGAAATATAATTTACTCTATATGAATCCGTCACATTCATAATAGTAAGTTTTAATATTATTTCCTCTTGCCTAAGTAATCTTTCAATTGAAAGCCTAACCTGAGCCCAATGTAATTTAACGTAAGCTTTTCCATGGGTTCGTCTTGAGTTTTCAGGCTCAAGGATAGGCTTGGGCTAGAAAACTCTGGCCTGACCTAAACTTAGGTTAGGCTTAGGTTTAGCCTTCAAGTAGGAATTTGGATATGCTCTGTCCATAGTGAGTCTCACGCCGATCTTACAGTCACATCTCACCTTGTATTGGAAACATCTTCCCATGATAATAATAAATTCAAGGGCGGGAGATGTTCCCAATGTGTGGCAAGAACATGTTGTGAGGTCAGTGTGAGACGCACAGTGTGAGGAGCAGATCTGGACTCTTTCAAGTAGTTCAAGCCCCGTTGTTTGCATGGTATTCTGTAACATAAATAGGTGTGTAGTATCTTCTATACCTTAGAATATATGGTCAGAAAAACCTCGCCTGAGGTTCACTTTCACAAAAACCTTCCCTGTAGTATTGAAGAAACTTGTAGTTACCTCCCTCTTGTTATTGTATTGGACAGGAAACATTGGCCAAATGCATTAGTTTTTCAAAAGTACCCATTATATCTATCAATTAAGATGGAAAATATACTAAAATACCCCAAAAAATGTTTTCACTTTTAATTGAAAAAATTTCCGAGTTAGATTGAACAGAATAAAGTAATTTTACATAAGGATGGTAACTGCAGGTCTTTGTGAAACTACAAGGGAGGTTTTTGTAAAAATGAAACCTTAGTGAAGGCTATTCTGATTGTCAAAAATTTCAAGGGAGGTTTTAATATTTTACCTAGATTATAACTATACTACTATTAAAAGTGTGAAACTTTTGTTTGACTAAAATACATCATCTTTTTAATTTGGTCCCTCTCTAATTAATTGTAAGGACATAAGTGTAATTTGAGCAACAACTTTTCTCCTCGTTCAAATTCCTCTCATTAAGTCTTGTATTTAAGGTATTAACTCCTATTAACAATCATTAATCTTATTCTTGATCAGAATACCCTTATTTTTGAATTTTATATTCTCTCTAATTGTGATGGAACAAAATGTAATTCGAACTACTATATTTCTCCTCATTCAATTCCCTCTCATTAAGGTTTATATTTAGGGTATTAATTCCCATTATTTTATTGAATCATACATTAATTAATCATATTAAATAAAATAAGTGTGATAAAGAATAATTGTTTTATTGGTGATATAAATAAAATACAAATTTAAAACTAATGCAAAAGTAGAATTGTTTTTTTTTTTGTTTGGTGGAAAGTCAACAATTCAACCTTTTAGGTCAAAATGTGTCAACCTTTGATGTCATAGTTAAATAATAATAATAAAAATTAAAAAGAAAAGATGAAAACACACAAAAGTATAAAAAATATAAAAAATTGTTGAAAACATTTGGGCACATCTCTAATATCATATATTCATTAATGTGACAAATAAAAATAATTTTTATAGATATAGAAATATAAAAAAAAAAATTGTAAAAAATTTGGAAACATATTATTTGTTAACATCATTATCATCACCACAAAAGAATTGTCATGTGCAAAGCAAGTGCATATTTACTAGTTTATATTAGGTATGTAAAATGTGGCCCAAGACCGCCAAAACATAGCCCTAGTTATGTTAGGTTAAACTTGTGTTGGGCTTGGGTTAGTAAACTCAGGTTAGGCCTAAGACCTAAAGTCTTAGGTTTGGGCTTACATGACCATCAACCCTAAGTTGATTGGCTTCATGTAAAAAATATCAAAAAAAGAGGGAAAAAACTAGTACCTTTATTTTCCTCTTTTCTAACACATGATTCATCTCTATTCTTTTGCACATGAGAGATTGAAAAGGCTTTGATATTTTCCTAAACTTGGAGCAAATATGATGTTTAGGCCCCATTCACTTTTTTGGGAAGTTATTTATCCATGTTCTTTTGTTTTCTAGGTAAATATGGCAATGATCATTTTATCCAGATAAGTATGTCTCAAGAAACAATTGCGTGTAAGTAACTTCCCAAAAAACCAAACAGGGCCTTGCAGTAAAAACTGAATTGCTAGTTCTAGGAATTGAATTATGTTTTCAAGTGATATAAGATTAATATATACATCCAATCTTAACTCCCACAAAGTTTTGATCATGATTTACAGGGATGCACAACGTATAAACGAATACGAAAAGCGTGTGGTTTGGTTGATTAAAAAAATGCTTGGGAGATGCAAATGATCTGTGTTATAAATGACAATGCAGTCATGCAGATACAATCAGAAATCCATGCAAGAGTCAAGCTACGGCCAGCAACTCAAGTTTGATGGCTAAGCTAAAAGAGGGTCAACTAGGTGAGACTTCAATTTTAATCAACTTAGGCTCAGTTTTACTTAATTCTCAGCCCTTTTATACCAATTATAGATAAAGGGCTACACAAACTAGGGGTGTAGCACATCCCCAGTGTCCATTAAGCAAATATGGTCGAGAGAGTTTGATCCAATATGCTCTACATAGTATATATATAGGGCTTTTTTGGCACGCCTTTTGGTCTTTCGAAAGCTCAGAAGACCAAGAAAAGGCATTTTCCCCTTTGGCATTGCATAGACTAGAAAGCGAGCATGCGGAAAGACTGAAAAAGCTGAAAATTGGCAAGCTCCAAATGAAGCATTTGTCTCTTGGCACTAAAATAGCCTTTTCATATATTTTTAACGGTCCAATAAACCATAATGTGAACCAAATAGTCTTGGCCTTTAAAGATAAGACTTCAAAAGCTCAATACATCTCTTCTATCTGCTAGGTCGTTGAAAGATCTACTTAGAAAAACTTGCCAAACAGGTCCATAATAAACCCCGCAAAGAATAGAATATTTTGGTCAGTAGCTTGGTTGGGTTCTCTAAGCGCCCAATTGGAGGAGTTCTCAAACCATGGCTTTTTGGCTTTGTGAGATAGGCCCCACCCAAGTAGGAGTCTAGGTTTGGCCATCTATGTATTATAGTTAATAAATCCAAACTCACCAGGTAGCCTGGTATGCAATTAGCAATATTTGGTGAAAAGGCTAAAAAAAAAGTTAAGAGTAGCTGTCCCTTGTTCAAAAACAATGGCTTTGGTGCAAAGCTTCTCTTAATGGCTTCTCCAAGGCAGCTCAAAGAGAGCGTTGCACAGATGGTCTGGGAGTGCTTCAGCTTTGACTGAGTTGCTATGATAGAGCCGTTTTGAAGAAGTTATTAAAACTAACTTGTCAAAATGTAGATTTCTTAGCAGAAATTGTGTGTACTTAGCTTGGGTTTTCACCAAATATAATTTTTGGACTTTCCATGTAGGGTTTTCACCAAACACGACACAGTTAGTGCATTTGGGTATATCTTAGCTATGTCCGTATCAAAATAATGCTGACCTGTTTGACATGATTAATAAACATGTCAATTTTGGGTTAATCCACTTAATTCGAAATTACATGTTTATAACCTGAAGTTTCAAGTATTAGATCATGCATGTGTATTTGAATGAAATGCTATTGTGGTAGATAAGAACGGCATTGAATGTTTTTTATGGATTTGTTTAGGTAATGGATTATTGAATATTTATTTTACTATTTAAATTTATTTTTTGTTTAATTTAAACAAATTAATTGTGCTGATTTCTTGTTAATTTGAGTTGCATGTGTCATTTAGTAAATAATAAACAGGTCATGCTCATATTTAAAATTTTAACACGATTAACTAATTGTATCATATTTGTATTGGAGTATATATCCAAATACCCTTACCTTGACACGATACAAGAACACAAATTCCCACCCCCTAATGGATGCCCATTATTAATATTAAATAGAATAACAAAACTAATCAATATATAAATATTAAAACAATCAATAAACCATAAAGTTCAATTATTATTATCCATAAAATAAGATATAAAACAAGGTTCAAAATACCAACTAATGGTGGTTCAATCGGTAGGACCTCTAACTCCTTGTAGTAGAGATCCAGAATCAAATCTTGCTGCCACCAAGGTTGGGAGGGGTTAAAGGGATGGGAATGGACTGCCCCATTGTAAAGACCCATGAAAAACAAAGGTTCAAAATATTAACACATGATACAAAAAATAAATAAATACAATGCATGTATTGATTGATACTCTTTTTTTTTCAATTTGTTATTTAAATATAGGTTTGAAGGGATAGATATTGTATGTGTTTGGAACTATGGAAGTTTATTGATCAAACGTTTTGTACTTGATTTGTTTGGAAAACCGAGAAAAGTAATAATAAACTTGTTTATTGACACTTAGGCACCACATCAGCAAAATAGTGAATAAATGTCTACTCGTTGGGAGAGGTGCTAAAATGAAGTTTTCTTAACGGTAAGCGTGCACATAAACTGAATCCTACTTTTGCAAATCCCTATGCGTACGGATTCACATAATGGGAGAAATGTTGAAGTGGCACTCATGTGACAACATTTATTTACATGGCTCCAAACACCCTCATTAACATCTCAACTGTTAATATCCCCTTACTCTCAATATTTTGCATGTTGGTGGCCTTGGTAAACAATAAGAGACAAGCTGCATATCATATCAATAAATTAATTTTTTTTTCGGTATTAATCATTGTCTGACACCCCATAAGGGCCGTTAAGTGAATAGTACTAGATCACATCAACAACAGTAATCATACAATTCTACTTCTTACAGAGATGATAATAGCAGAATCCAAAACTGCACCACTGCTGGGACATTTCATCCAGCACGCCAATGCCAACTGTGCTACTCCTTAATTGGCAATACTTTAAAGTTTAAACCTTGGCATAAACACACATGCAATACATACATTGCAATCAAAACATGAACCAATTAAAATTTAAGGTAAAAGACTAAACATGCCCTAAGTTTTTCAAAAAAAGACTTACATATACCTTGTGAAATGATCACACTGGACCTAAACATACCCTTCATCAATGAAAAGGCACATGTGAAGTCATTTAAAATTTCAAAAATCCTATTTTACCCTTTTGGGCAGAAAGAAGAAGAAGAAATGTGGGAGGAGAGAAGAAAAAAATGACCAACGGTCCAATTCTATTAACACACACAGGGAGAGAGAGAGAGAGGTTCCCATAGCTGGAAAGTAAAAATAAGGGGAGAAGTTAGGCAGTAAATGGGGAAAATGGGAAGTTCAACTCGAAAACAAATTTTTGGGTTTAGGGGAGAGAATCCAGAGAAAGATTAAACTGAAACGTTATCACGCTGAGCCGTTAGGGTTTAGTTAAAAAGTTTGAAGAAGTGACGGGGAGGGAAAAAAAGTCAATGGATGGCTCCTCATCTTTTGGTTCTGAAGGGGACCCATGCAAAAGTTGTCGAGGTTGGTGGCCCCCATCATCAATAACGTCACCTTAACTTAGCAAAGAAATTATATTCAGAGCCCTTCAAGCATCGTAGAACTGTAGAAGTCCCACATAGGTTGAGCCCTCGCAGTAGAAAACAAAAACATGATCAAATGACTTTGAACCACAACCATCTTATTAGTGTATTATTTTTCTGGGCTTTATAAAACTTAAAACAAAAGACACACGCCTCATGAGTTCAAAAAATTTAGGATACATTTTGAACCATTACATGACTTTCAACCATTTGATTAGAGGCAATCCAGTATGCTCAATTACCAACTAGGGCAACCACCTACATGAATTTAAAAAATTCAGGATGCATTTTAAAAGTGTAAAAAAATATGAAGGATAAAAAGTCACAAGTCTTTAAATAATACTAAGAATACATATAAGTCGATTTATGAAAACAGAGAGAGCATGTTCAAGTCTTTTGCCTAGGCACAAGCAACTCATGAACCCATTACTATGAATTAAAATGCATAAATTTAAAAATATGTAAATTTAATATAAAATTGTACGTGTCGGTTCATAAACATATGAATTGGTGTACCGTGCTCCTAAGCCCAGAAAAGGATATGTAAAACAGTTAAAAGTTAAACCTTCCTACCCACAGGCAGAACTGCATAACTCCATGGCTTCGCAGAGCAGTACCTTCATCTGTGGTCTCTACAAAGGGGATACCTAATGGAAGACCTTACACCATTGCATTCGTTTAATTCTGTTGAACCGAGGGAGCTTAGGTAGGGTACAAGGGAAAAAATAACAAGAAAGAAAAACAGAAATGAAACTTATGGCTAGAAATGGACCCTGTATGTGCAGAAGAACGAAGATGGAGATATTCTATCTATAGCCTGATCATTTGATCGCTCAAGTAAGAGAACCATGCAAGCGAAGAAAGCAGAATGAGTGTATATGGGTCAACCATTTCAAGGGCCAGAAGGAAATACATCAAACACAAAGGTTACCCCGCTTTGGTATCTGACGTAAGTAGCCCCATCTGTTCTGTGAGCTGATCCATATGTTCAGCCTTATCCCACCCATTTTCCTCTCCTGAATTCTCCTTTTTTTCCTTAACAATACCTTCTGGTATGCTAGAATCAATCTCCTCTGGGTCCCCTGAAAGAGGGCTTACATTGAGAAACTGTTCCCAGAATACATCATTTATGCTCGGAAGCAATTCAGAATCAGGTAATGGATCTATGTATGCTCCATTACATGTTTCAGTCTCCACGTAACTCACAGCAGGAATATCAACAATGTTTGTTTCTCCCACCAGTCCGTGTACTTGTGGAAGGTCAGGCAAAACCATGTCCGTCTGGCATGAGGCAACGGCTCCCCCCTCTTCCACTCCAGATAGCACACTCAAATCTGGAAATTCAGTTGTTGAAACCATGTCTGTTACTAGGCCAGAAGAAGACTGGATCTCAGATATGGCAGCTGAGGGACGACTACCTGGAAACCCTGAGGCCACAGGCAAAAGTGATTGCCCAGATGTTGGTGGGACCTCCGAAAGTGTCACTCCCGAGGTCCTACTTGAAGAGCCACCACCATCAAATGAGCCGTCTAATGAGTTAGATGGTGTAGGAATATCATCAATCATGAAACTGTCGGGATTGCCATTTGAAGATTCTAGCCTGGGTGATGCATCAAACTTCAAAATTTGCCTTAGCATTGATTTTGCAGCTTCACTCATCAAGGGCTGGTACTTTACAATCTGTCCATCAGGAGCTACAGCACACTCACCCTCAGAGTTCTCTTCCTGTTTCGGGAGTCTCCTTTTCTTACTGACCCCAGATATGCACCGGTTGCTATCATTCTGCTGTTGGACCAGTTGTGCAAGGAATCCAGGGCTTTGCATGGCCTTTGCCAGGAATGACATCATCTGCTGCTGTCGCTGCTCCATTCCCTGAAGTCGCTGACCCATGGTCTGTAACTGGTGATCAGTTGCCTGTTGCTGCTGCCTTAGTCTAACCAGTTCCTGCATAAGTACATTTTTATCTCTTTTAAGTCTCTCAACCTCTTCCTCAAGTCCAAACTTTCCCACCTCAACGCATGCCCCGACTGAAGTACTCTGTCCTTGAGGTTGTTGGTGATGCACATGGGCGGGTTTTCGCCTATTAATACTTTTCAACAAGTGTTTCTGACCCCTCAGGAAACCCTCATTTGCAAATTCCCAGCGGTCTGGATCAACCTTCCTGAATCCCTGGTCAAAGAAAGCCAGCAGAACAAGAAAGGAGAAAGGACTCGTATCAGCATTTTCTATGTTTTCGGTGTCTTTCCATGCATAGTTGTATTTCACTTCCATCATTTAATAAAATCAATAAGATCCAGTTACAATCTAAAACTGAAAACCTTGAGAAAGCTCCAAAGGTCCCCTCCGATGGTCAGGCTTGGGCTCGGGCCTGAACATATTCTGTTAATGTAGAGGCAAAGCCCGGCCTGGCCTGGCCCATGAACAGGTCTAATGGCGGCACAAAACTTTACAAACAAGACAGAACCAAGAAACAACGTGAAGAGTTGAACCCAGTGTTGAATGGGACTCTCCTAAATGGATGTGTTGTGCCAGACATGCACCTAAGGCTCGCATTTCACGGACTCTTGAAGGCACAGGGCACTTCTACATAACATTTCCTCTTTTTACCAGCAACAAGAATCTACATTTCCTTTTTATCCCGTAGCATAGTTCTGTTAATTTCATAACAAGTAGTTATGCCACAATTAATGTTGACAAGTAAAACCAATGGTCAACTTGCATAATACTTTTTTTGTTTTGCTAATAAACTAGTCAATCCAAGAATTTCAAGAGTTTCTATGGGATTTTGTATAGGAGATTTTCCTTCTTTAGTTATAATTTCTTTACTACTCGTATTTAACTGCATGCTAACACTATATATATACATATATAAATTTGATTGCACAATGGCATATTATGACTGCCTAAATGTTTTGGAAAGATCGCTGGTGTTTGGACAGACCTTTAGCTGAGGCTTTTCCCCTCCTTTTCCACTGTGCAGTTAACCAAGAAATATCAGTGGCGGAGTCCTATGTGATCTCTAACAACACAGTAACTTGGAATCCTCAGTTTAGAAGAGATTTGTTTGATTGGGAGATTGATGGAGTGATGCAACTACTGCAGATTTTGCAGGAGCAGTCAATAGATATTTCTGGTGAAGATGAATGGAGTTCTGGTCCTGGAGTAGGGATGGCTGTTTCTCAGTCAAATCTCCGACTGTTAAGCTTAGCAGTACAGGGATTACTAAGTTCCCCTGCCAGCAAGTGTGGAAATCTTGTTCTCCCTCGAAGTTTATCTTCCTTGTGTGGACTATGGTGCTAATGTCTCTCAAGACTCAACCTGGATAGAAGGGGTATTCAGCTCCCTTCTCTGTTGTGTGGTTTGTGTGGCTTATTGCCTGAGTTATCCATTGTCCTATCTCTTCGAGAGTCTGGTACCACTTTATAGGAGTGATTGATCTTTGTTGGGTCATGCCAAATTCAGTTAAAGATCTGCTGCTTTGCTGGAATATTCAAGGTCTGATGAAATAAGGAAATTTAACTTGGAGAACTATTCCTGCGGTTGATGTGGGTGATTTGGTCAGAGAGGAACAGAAGAGTCTTCAGCAACAAATCTAAGAGCATGGAGGAGATTGTGCAGCAGACGGTCAGCAAGCTGATTTCTTGGGTGTCTGTAGCCCCTGATTTTAAAAATTTGAATGTTCCTGAATTGTTTAGATCTGTATCCATTTAGGATCTGTAACATGTCCCATGATCTGAGTAAGCCACATGTAGTTAGCTCTCCTGTTGTAATGAGTTCTTTCTGATTTAATAAATCTCTTACTTTACCTTTCAAAAAAAAAACCTTTAATAGCAACAGGATTTCAAGTCCATACTTACTTCCTTATCTAATAATTTCCTCCTGTCCACTATTCCTACCATAAAATTTTTCTTGATAAGTTATTCCAGTGGCCATGCCTAGGCACACAGGCAAGGTGTGTACCTTAAAATTAGGGATGCAAATGGATTGGATCGAATTTGATTCTGAGTATATCTAAATCTGATCCGATAATACAAATCGTAGATCCAACCCAAACGGATCTTACAAACATCAATTCAAATCTGAATCTGTTAAGGATGTCGAATATCCAAATCTCATCCAATCCAATTTAATTTCTGAAAATTTTAATAAATTATTAAAAGGCAAAAATATTACAGTTTATATAAAGAAAAACAAAAAAAAGTAATTTTTTCAACTATTTTCATCATATATATACACGTTTCTATAAAAATAAATAATATAAAAAATTACAACAATGCAATATAAACATATTTATAAATAAATAACACATATATATATGATAGGATTGGCTTTTTTCAGATTAGATAAGGGTGATCCGAATCCGATCCAATTTTTAATCAAATCTATTATCCGATCCAATCCAAAAATCAAACAAGGGATATCCGAATCTGACAAAATAGGATCAGATTATGGATTGGACCGGATCATGGTCCGATCCATTTTCACCCCTACTTAAAATGCACCTCCCCTACCCCTAGGTCCTAGGTGCACGACTTTCAAAAGGCATGAGCTTGATGCACCTAGTGCACCTTGCGCCTCAGCCCAGGTGTGTGTGCCTTTTTTTCATTTTTTGCACTTTTTGGTGTTTTTCTAGCATGGTAGAGGGCTGGGGGTTCCACCCCCGGACTCCCAGCCAAGCCCCTTGAAGCAAGCCCAAACAAGTCCATGTAATGGTCTTAAATTCTTAATCCCTGGCCTCAAGGGGCTCGGTACAAAGGTAGGTTGTACAATTAGGAATGAAAGATGTCAAATCACATTAACTATTTGAAATAATGCAATTGAGCAAGAAATAAAGAAATTAAAAGTTTGACATGCTTGAATATGTTTTGTATACTATTTTTTATTTTATTTTTGCATTTTTTCACTTTGGATATGTTTTATATGCTATGTTTATGTATCTAAATTTGAGCTAATAGGCTTTTTTAAAACATTTGGTTTAAAATCAAAGTTTGAATTTTTTTAATTAATACTATTAATATTTTCTTAATTTATTTTGAATGTTTACTATTTTTTCATTTTCTCCCTTTTTTTATTTTGCACCTTGCTTCAAAAAGGCACTAGCCTCACCTTACGCCTTACACCTCAAGTGCAAAATGGCCTTTGTGCCTTTTTTTTTATGAATGCCTTTGTGCTTTTTTTCCACCTTGTTCTTTCAAAACATTGAGTTATTCATATCATACAAATTTAGCCCCTTCCCCCCCCCCTCCCCGTTCAAGCACAACAAAATAAACTCAACCTAACTAAACCTGAACCCAATCATTTCACCAGCTATCCAATTCCTTTGCCACTAGGGATGATCAAGCCCACGGCCCTAGGCCAGGCTGGACTGAGCCAGGCCTAATTCTGACCCTACAAATTTTATGTATAAAACATTAAATGTATATAATATTTTATATTATACATCTATAATATGTATATATATATATAATTTATTTTACACATAATGTAACATATAAGATAATATATAATATGTATTATATATAGGTGTTATATTATAATATTTATATAGAATACAAAATATGAGAAAATAACATACATGCATATGTAATTATTATCTACAAATATGTGCAGGCTGGGCTGGGCCTGAAGTATTGGGCCCAGGCCTGCCCTGAAATTTGCAGTCCTAATGTGGGCCTAGGCCTGAGTCAGGGCTGAACACAAAAACCTAGGCCCAAGCCTGGAATTTCCAGGTCTAGCCAAGCCAGGCAGAAAATGATCACCCCTATTCACCACTTTTCAATCTTTATGAGGGTAATATCTTATGTGAAATGGATAAAATCAAATAGTCTTTTTTGAACGTCAAACTAACATAAAATAGAAAAGCAAATCAAGGATAAAATAAGAAGAAATAGAGAGAACACCAAGATTTAGGCTATGTTTGGTTCCGTGGGTGTTTATTGAAAAAACGCCACAAGAAGAGAGGGAAAAATATCCACTATGAAAACAAGAGATACATGGATGATCTCTCGACTCACAACAAAATATTGCTCTCTCCTCAAACCCTAATCTCACACACTCGCTAGCTTAAATAAGCAAAGATCATATTAATATTAGAATTATACATAAGCCCCTCTTTCTCCCATAAATACATATAGGTCTCCATAACTTATCAATATTACAAATATACCCTTGTAATCTCCAACAACCCAAATACAATATATCTCTCAACATTGAAAAAGCAAATATTGCCAAATCATGTGAACCAACAAATTAAAGACATTCCAATCATTAAATTCCAAGAAGTAATACAATATACAAGGCTCCTCAGACTTGAAGAAACTTTGAAACTCAAAAGCATGAACATCTTTTTTTATCAGCAACACAAATGAAAATTTCATTCATCAATTATTTATCAAAAAAAATAATTCATTAATTAGAAAAGGTGCAACAAGGGGTTGTGAGTACAAAGAAAGAGGAAAAAAATACAGCCTTAACTTCCCCCCACCCAAAAACACATCACATCACACAGCCCAAAAAAGAGATTGTCTATTAACTCTCCGCCTTACCAAACCATCAGCCAAGCCTTAACTTTCCCCCACCCAAAAACACATTACATCACAGCCCAAAAAAGAGATTGTCTATTAACTCCCTTCTTTGTCAAACTATCAGCCAAGCCATTTGCTGATCTTTGTACCCACTTAATTCCCAACTGCATATCCTTCAAGAAACACATAAACTGCCTGAATTCGCTCCTGTAGCACCAAGCAACTTTCTCCTCCAAAAATCAACTGATAACCGCTCTAGAATCACCTCCAACAATCAGCCTTACAGTTCCCATTTCCTTGGTTTTCTGCATCCCCAAAGTCATGAACACCTTAGAACCCTACTAGTGATCATCAACATCATCATCTAAGCCTTTAGGCCCTTTACCTTACTATATGGGGTTGGTTACATGAATCATGTCTCACCATTCTGTTCTGTTCAATGCCTTATCCATAGTTAAACTACAAGCCCTTAAACAATTTCTTACTACTTCAACCCATTTCTTTATTCATCTGACACTAGCTTTTTTTATAGGCCGTCTGCTGCTACTACCTTTTCTAGCCCCTTCAACTTGTAACAGAGCATTTCTTCTCAGAAGTGCTGTAGATGGTCTTCTATGTAACCAAACCATCTTAATCTACTTTCCC